ATTACAACAAAAATAACTGATTTGCTCAGAAATTCTAATAAAGTAATTCAAAACATTTAGTAGACTCGTTTAGAATAGCTACAGATAGAGATATAGTCGTACTACAAAAATTGACATCATGCTGGGCGCAGGCGCTGTAGACCATTCTGTGACCTGGAAGAAATGGTGGAATGCCTACAGTGTTGTGCAGCCCAGTTGGAGGTTCATTAGTTGTTGTTTTTTAATGTTCTTTTTCAGTGTGGATGTATGGTGTTTGGTTTTGAATGTGAACCTAAGTAGGTAAGTTTTAGTAGTCGTCGAGCTTGAGTGAAACAGCAATTTATTCATTTTGAAAGATTTGATTGTCAAAAAAAAGTTTATGTAAAGGCAACTTGATTAAAGATACTTGCAGACAAGGTATGACTCTATCACAACCTGAATGACAGTGTGTGGTGATAGCATCCATTTTAGGTGAAAGAAATGAAAAATGATCCACAGTGGTTGTGCTGATGAGTTTTGGAAAAGTAAACCATAATAAGAAATGTGAGTTAGCAACGGTGTAAATCCTACATAACTTAACCACATGATGAACTGTTCACATGCTTATAGATGAATAAATAAAAATGTACACAGGCTGATACGAACCAGTATTTCTTTTAAAATCATGTTGGTTATGTGTGAGTGCATGTAGAGGTGCTTCACCCTGCAATAATGAACCAAACTATATTAGCCATAGAATCCTCCCTCTTTATTCTGGAACATTTTTATAGAAATAATAATAACAAAACATAATCAAGCAGGTAAACCAAACTTTCTGTTCAACATACTGTATTTTGCAGAATAAGATTTCCATCAAGCTACAGTCTATAAAAGCTGTAGACTTTATTTGCACATAAAATGATATAAGGACTTGGTTGATTATATACTAAAGCAGTATATGGAGCATTATGATGGTTAATGGCATATCTGACAGCATGCCAGGGGGACTGAACATTTCTCTCTTCTGTTCCTCCGAACTCATCTCCTTGAATTTATTTCCACACCAAAACAAAAACCACAAACTTGAAAAAAAAATAATCTCAAGTGCCAGCTTTCAGAAGCGATGCCTGAGGAAATACAGCTAAGAAAAATATTGAGGATCAAAAAGGCTTTTAACCACAGTTCTATATTTTCCCCATGAAGGCCGACAAATTATTTCTTGAAAGCAAACTTTTTTATGTTTTTAAAAGTTGTATCATCAGAAATAGACTGAGCATGACACAATTCTAGCAGAATTATAACAACACACTCTTTTATAATATGAATCTAAAAATAACTTCTTGGGAGTTTGTCGATGGAACAGCAAGAAATGCAGCAAAAAAGTGCAGATGTACAGCCGGACTTAAACACTCAGACCACGGTGACATGACTGTTGTAAATAATGGAGATTGATGAATAATATGATCAATTACTCAGCTCCTGAAGCTCCAGGCTGAGCGTTTATGTTGAAACTCATAACTTTTTCATTATGGCTTCAAATACTAAAATTAAGCCACTTATACTTTTTCTAATTCAAGAAATCACAATACATCAAAGATGACAGGGCGAATTTAGATTATTTTTCCAACATTAGTCATGTAAACAGTAACAGTGATTTTTACTTACAGTTACAATAAGAACTAAGAGGATTATGTACAACATACTTAAATTCTGTGTCAATTAATGCAAAAATATACAATGAAAGAGACTTTTCCCTTAAGTCTTAAGTGAAAAAATAAGTAATTCATTCAGAAAACAAGAAAATGTTCCAAGAAAACTGAAAATTGCACTTGCATTTAAGAAGCTTCTAAAACACTGTATTCCTGTATGCATGCAGAGATAAAGCTCTATAAATTTGTGAATTTGGCCCCAGGAGATAAAAACACGCTGCAGCTGAAGCAGTCGTGAC